GGGGGGGGCGGTGGACATGCTTTGAACTAAAATGAAGTTATATTCCGCGCCTGAAATAAGCCCAACACCACAAGCTACTCTTTCTGCAAAGGAAACTCAATATCATATTGAGCAGTATATTTCAATAAATGTTTTATGCCTGGGGTTCAGCTTCAACCATTCCCTACTCTTCTCAAAAAAGAAAAGAAGTTGACTTTAGATATTCTTTAAAAAAAATCTTGAAGAAAAAAGTTGACAGTGAAAAGTGGTTAGTGGTTAGGGCCCCAGTGCCTTGCAGTGCTGGGGCCCTGGGTTTAATCACCCCAAAAGGGCAGCATCTTCATAGAGTTTGGGGTACAGTTGTTTGTGTGGGTTTCCTGCCGCAATAAATTCTAAGCTCCTCTGGGAGAAGGACTGATTGATGCAATGTTTCCTGTACGGCGCTGCTGTATAGGTCAGTGCTATTTACATAAATAAATACATTGACTATGCTCTCTTCCTGCAGGCACACAACACCCATCACTCAATACAGATGTGGCAAGGTAACTTCTTAGGTGAATGAAATGGTATCATGTTGGTTGTCACACCTGTTTCTGGTAGAAGAGAAGGGTAAAATGGAAGTACATATTCCAGGGGTCAGAGGGACATCCTACATGAAACGTGAATCCAATACCCCACGTGGCTGGAACCAGGGGACAACGGATCGCCTTTCTGGATGGGCCCCAACCATAGAGAATTAGGAACAGTCCATTTAAAGTAAACTTGTACTCATAGCCCGTCTTCCCGACACTTCCCCAACATTTCACACATAATAATATATTTAAAGTTCTTTCTAAGCAGATACTAGAAACTATAGAACATACAGGTGAAACTGGAATAATTAGAATATCGTGCAAAGTTCATTTATTTCACTAATGCAACTTAAAAGATGAAACTAATATATGAGAGAGACTCATTACATGTAAAGCAAGATCATTCAAGCCGTGATTTGTCATAATTGTGATGATTATGGCTTACAGCTCATGAAAACCCCAAGAACCCCAAATCCACAACCTCAAAAAAGTAGATTATTACATGCAATCAATAAAACAAGGATTGTACATAGAACAATATCGGACCTCTGAAAAGTACAAGCATGCATATGTACTCAGTACTTGGTTTGGGCCCCTTTTGCAGCACTTACTGCAATTACTTTTGCACGATATTCTAATTATTCGAGTTTCACCTGTAATATGTGTGGACCAGAGTTCGATTAAACAAGAACCCTCCCTACTCCATCCATAACAAAGTTTTGGCTGGAGACTATGCTGCAATGTGACCAGTTTAGGTTAACAAAGACTCTCTCCTAAGACTCTCTCCTAACAAAGACTGTCTCTGTATATGGTGTGCGGCTTAGAGAAATCTGTTTTAAAAACGGTGATTTCAGCAAATAATGTGGAATTGTTCAAGAAACTTTTGGACGATTTCTTAAGGGACCGTAATATACAGGGGTACAGGTAACATACAGGGGTGCAGGTAATATACAGGGGTACAGTTACTCCTAGAATGAGATCCTAATAGGTTGGACTTGATGGACTAATGTCTTTATTCAACCTCAAATACTATGTAACTATGTAACTATGTATGTAACGCCTCATTAATTCCCAATATCTCTCCTATGGATCTGATAAGTCTCTGGATGGAAAGCTTATGGGGGGCCACCACCATCTTCTTTAATCTTTACATTCCTGATCTCCGGCAGGCTGTATATCACTATCCCTGTCTTCTGAAAACTCCCTGAGAAACCAAAATGATCCTGCCGGCCGCGCACGGCTCATATTGGGCACTAAAGTGGATCTATAGCCAAAATTCTGCTTTTAGTTCGGGATAAATTAAGAGTTAAAGCTGAACTCCGTCCTTTCCTTCAGTCTTGCACAGTTGTACCGGCTTCCTCTCCTGGACCGAAATTGCTTCCTCCGATTTCACTGCACACTGTGAGCAGTAACATATACCATCACGTTAACAGGTCAACTCACTTTAATCCTTTCCTTAAGGCGTCAGCTACTTTCTTGACTTGGTGGGGATGCGGGTCCAGTCTGATGGACCCCTTCCGCAGCGACGTGTACAATTTCTCTGAAGGGATCGACAGCTTTGATTTTACCGAGCTTCTCCTCAGCGACTGTCTGAAAAACATGGAGGAGTAACATTAATGGAGACAGCAGATTTAGGGGCTAAAGGTCTTTGATTTACCAGGAGCTCATGGTAGCATGCGTTACCCTGAGTCTCTTGCCTAGTCCAACCATTGGCTTCCACTGAAATAATAGGCTGATGTCTTTATATTAGCATCTCCCTTTGTATATTAAAAGCATCTCAACTGAACAGCTGCTGAGATAAAATCTCCAAGACGTTCTGGACAGAGCTTACTCTGTGCAAGGGACCCTCCATCGCCCCCCAAGTTACACTACTCAGGTTCAGTGAGCAGGAAAGGGTGAAAGAGCTACATGGGCCCCCATACTTGGAAGTACCGGGTATTTCACTTGGCTCTGGAGGGAGGGCACTACTTATCTCAGTTGGGGAAACTTTTCATCTGCCCGATTGAGCGTTCACAAGACCTCGGCCAGCCGGGAGCCTTCCTCAGACGTTAGATGACCAGCCTGACCATCTGTTTATATGGCAAACATTGCCTAGGTGTGTAATAAAATAAAGAAAGCATCTTCTCTGCCTGATCCCGGAATCTATAATGATTCAATAGTAAAAAAAAAATCTAACCTGCTGTTTTCTGCCAGATTGGCCAACTATCTAACGTCTATGGAGAACCACAGATAACCCATCCAAGGCTCATTCGGGAACAGATTATACCTTGTCCTATCAGTATCATGAACTGGCATTGGAGGAGTTCCCAAAGAGTATCTTCAACCTTTCCTCATACATGAGCAGTTGCCTATTGCCAGCATAGGTGCCTAAGGGTCAGGGGCGTAAGTACAGATCATGGCAAACGCATTAAAATCTAAATCAAGGACAAGTAGCAGGAGAGCTGTCTGCACAACCTCTTACTGCACATCTGATATCAACTTTTCTTGATTGGAAATGCCATAAGGGGGACAATGTCAACAGCAACTGCAGCAATCTTTCATGGGGCCCCCTTCCACCCCCCAGGCCCCATAGCAGCCTCATGGGCTGCTATGTCTATTGTTACGTCCCTGCTACCTAGGCGTATCAAATATGCGCGTTTGTCGCGCGTTTCGTGTTGTGCGATTGTCGCGCGATTCATGGTAAAAAAAACCCGCGTGACGAGCGCGCGTTTCCGAGGGCTACCTGGCTGTAGCCCAATGGAAACGAGCGACAAAAACGCCCCAAAGAAGCTCCTGTACTTCTTTGGGCGTAGGGCGTTTTGTAGCGCGTTCATACGGCCTGTAATACGCCCAGGTGTGAACCATACCCATAGGAAATAATGGGATTTCGTGTGTTTGAGCGTTTAGCAGAGCGTAGGAACGCACTACAAAACGCCGAGGTGAGAACCGGGCCTAAGGGCAGTTGGAAGCGCAGATACAATTTACTCTAGTCTACGGCCGGCTTTTCATTAGCTTTTCATTAGCTTTGCCCTACAATTTATTTTCAAGCGTGCCATAGTCTGGGGTTCACATGAATTAGGTAATTAGGAAACATCGTAACTGATAACAGAAGACAATGACCTGCGATTAGATAAGCATTGAGCCCGATATGTGCATTCCAGTTGTGGTATGGCAGGTTTAGATGGGTAACATTCTCATATAAGACAGGAATAAACATATTTATCACTAAATGCTCATTTGTAACACAACAGGAATTCACATATTATTCGCTGAATAGAACCTCTACCTAATCAAGGGTAATTGTCTTCTCTTATCAGCTCTTCCAGATAGGACGATTCCTCCTGCAGGACAGACAGGAAGTCTTATCACTAGAAGAACTAGTTTATTTTATGTATATTTCAAGGCGTAACACCCACTGTGTACTTTATAAGCTAACACTGAACTGCAGGTAGATATAAAAGACAAATGAATGCCGCGCTGTATTCATTAACACGTCCTTATTTATTTATTTATTTTTACATACAAGCAGTGTAACTACATAAATTTGATTTGGTATCAGCCTATTGCAATCCCTGTAGAGAAGAACTCAGACTGTGAGAAACAGCCAATCATCTTCATGCAGCGCAAGAATCATGCTCAACAGGAGGAGAGAGGAAAGTGACAGAAAGATGAGTTCATCAGTCTGCTGCTTCTCCTTTCCCTGTCCAGTCACAGACCAGGGGAGGAACAAGACCTGTAGGTAGGGATACTCGTACTCGCCCAAATACCTTCCCTGATACCAGAACTTCTGGTCAGAGGAAGATCTCCTCTGACCGGCAGTGCCGCAAGGGAACATGGAGCCGGCTTCCTCTGGTTCTGGCATCGAGCCGGCCCAACAGGATGAAGCCAGCTTCCCGCCCACTCAGGAAGCTGGGCGGTGGTTAATGATCCACCTCCCAGTTTCCTGATTGGCCGGAGAAACCAGCTCGATGCTGATTGGCTGGGAAGTCGGATTCCTGGCCAATCAGCATCAAGCCGGCCAAACCGAAGTCAGCTTGAAGTCAGCTTCGCAGCCAATCAAGAAGCCGGGCGGCGGGTAATGTCCCGCTTCCCGGCCAATCGACATCAAGCCAGCCAAACACCCGGCAAGATGTGGACCCAGAAATTGTTTAGAAAAACCCTTGATCCCCCTCGCTACGCTTAGGTGACACATACATTTACACAAACCTGCCAGCCAATGGCTCACACTATATTATGCCTACTCTGTTGCTGAGAAACTGGATTCCTCATGTACTACTTTAGGGCACATGCATGGTAAAAGGCAATATATTTAAGATTTAAGAGATTAGTTACTGCAGAATAGGGTCCAGGGCAAGCTGGTAGATCCCCATCCTCCATCAACATTGATAAAAACTGCTCAAAAAATTGTCCCCATTTCCATTGTCTCTATCTCTACTGGCATGAGCAGATCCATCAGACATCAACTGCCTATAGGTACCTTCTCCTTTGTGAAGTGTCAGGTAGTTGCACAGGTTTGACCTGTGCTATTCCCCTGGCTGCAGAAGGATGAAGGTTGTAGCTGGGCCCACAGAACATCCACTAGGCCCCTAGGTTCCTGCCAAGGTTGCCTTATGATAATCTAGCTCTGGTCCACCTCTGCAAGTCTCCTTTTTATTTCCATCTCTCCTTCTCCCATGGCCTTGGGCTTGGGCGTTTCTACATTTCGTCTCAATCGCTCTCGAACAACGACTTGGAAGCTCCTCCGGTGCATTGGTGTGGTCTTCCACTTTTAGCCAGCAGTGGAAAATCTGTCCACGTGTCCCTCCGATGCGGACTGGCGAGGGACCCCCCCCTGTTCGGAATCCCTGCCAATCAGCTGTTTAAACAGCACCGACGAGCAGCTCCAACACTTCAGCCAATCAGTTATCTCCAGCACAGAAAGGGTTAGGACATTTTTTTTTTTCCAGTGGATATCTGAGGCCGGATTTGCACAGACCTGGGACAGATTACCCTGAAACAATTCCATGTATTTCCAACGATGAGTGCAGTGGAGTAAAACTCTCTGATTGGCCCAAGCTTGGAGTTGTAAAAAACAGCTGATTGGCAGTTCTCCATAGCAGGGAAATCTCCACCAATCGGCATCAGCCAAGTGAAGTTGACATGTCCGGAAAACCCTCCATAATGTCGATGGGTTTTGGCAAGCCAGTGCACATTTTTTTCCTTTCAGGTGTGGCTCTCTGAAGCCATCTTGTCCAGCTCGATCACTCACCACTGCTGTTTTTAATAAATTGCTTTTAACGGAGAGAAGCATCTGAACCACATGGTTCACACATTCAGATATTTCAGATGTCTTTTTAAAGATTTTGGGGGCCAGTTTTCAAAAGAAACTACCAGCAACTGCATTTTGAGCAAAATCCTCGATCCTGCCACGGCTCTCTGCCGTGACAGGGGGAGGGGCTGGATTCTCCCCTCCCTGCTCCGATCTGCCAGCGCTGACTGGCGGAACAGACGGGGGAAGGGGCGGGTACAGCTTGCTCTGCCTCTAGATAGGCAGAGCCAGCTGTCAGTCACGCAGCTGGGTGGATTTCCTCATTTCCAACTGCATTTTGAGCAAAAAATAAATAAATAATGAATGCATCATGACACATCCCATAGTCTGACTGTACACAGTATAATGTAAACCTACATTTAGTATTTGTTAATACTAACTTAATTTTGGTTGCCCCTGTCTCCCTTAACTCTCGGCTACCATGAAACCCGGACACAGCATTCAAAACCCAGACTGCCCGGGTGAATCCTGGACAAGTGGCAACCCTAAATGGTGGCAACAGTGGACCATGTTGAAATGGTTGATCTTAGTCTCCATTGGAAGCCCATGTGACAGGGTGACAACGCAGGACCACAGTAAAAAAACAAAACAGGGACTGTGTGTCACCCTACAACGGGAAATGCCACATCAATGTCTCAGAGCTGTAGCTCGCGGTATACTGAGCTTGGGGTGACAGGAGGGCGCTAGTTTGTGTCCTCCCGTTACCCTAAGGAGAACTATGGGGAAAAGCCCTAACCCCATAGTTCTCCTTTAAGAAGAATATTGAAATGGAATAACAATAACATGTTAAAGACCATATGAGATTTTAGTGATTGGCTTTACATGAGGCCATATGATGAAGATATAACAGAGTGGTCCTTTGCCCGGCCCAGGTTGCCCCATCCTCATACGCAAGGCTTAGCAATCATGAACGCGTTCTGCTTTATATCTCGCACACCATCGCTTGCGGTTCGCAGCGACTTGTCTCATCCGTTTCATTATTCCTAACGCCGCCTTCCAAGTCCCTCCTCGTACATCAGACACCTATAGTTTCACTAGACGGTAGACGGATCGATTTTACAGGCTTCCTGACGGGGGCGTCTGCTGCCATAGCAGGATACCGCCGCACTTACTCTGAATTAAAGGATATCAAGAAACCATTCCCGCTAAGACCCGGAGTTATGTGGCCGTCGGGACGCTCAATGCGCACCTGCCCGGCAAAGCGCAGCGTTGCGGTAATCTGAGGGCTCTTTGGAAAGACCCCCCTTGGGAGGCGTGGAGATTTTAGGTAGCCTTGTAAAGGTTCTACAGAAGTCACACGGCAGTGTATGGAAACCACAAAAGCATTAAAGTGTAATGGAAAAGAGACTTTACGGGGGCCGGAGAGCCCATCAATCAAGGAACGCCAAGGACCATCTACGCAAAGCCTTGCAGGAAAAAAAAAATCGGAAAGGCTCTAATAGGATCCAGAGCTGCCGGTCTATCGCTGTGCGGCGTGCGGATTGTTGTTACTTACGAGGACTGGCGGACTTGCAGCGTGCTGAAGCCGGCAAACGATCGGCTGCGGCCAACCCCGGCAAGGCCATCGCTAGGAGAGGTGAACCTCAACTTCACCGACATCCTTCCTGGAGGCGCCTGAAAGAAAGAGAGTGAGGGAACTGTTAGCAGGACATCAGCAGAACTCGTTTGTACTGTAACAAGCTTAAAGTGGACCGGTCCAGTAACTTTAGAGGTCCGCATATATGATTTCCTGGCACAGAATACAGCAACAGGATCATTGTGCGAGAAAAGCTCCACCTTTTATCATGGAAAAGTCGTTCCTTGAGCTCCAGATCAGTGACTTTGCCTAGGCTGAGATGATGTCATCAGTGTGTTGCAGGCAGGAGGAGGCATTTCCTCAGTCTCCTCTCCCCCCAGAGATCAGACCGCTGCAGGACAGAGGAAGCATTTCCTCAATCTCCTCTACCCCAGTGATCAGTCTGATGCAGGCAGGAGGAAGCATTTCCTCAGTCTCCCCTCCACCAGTGATCAATTTGCTGCAGACAGGAGGAAGCATTTCCTCAATCTCCTCTCCTCCAGTAACCAGACTGCAACTGCCGGTGCACAGGCACTGGGATTTACATAATTGTGTCATCTCTGAGCTGGCATCTCCATCCAGAAATTGGTGACCCTGGATGATGCCTGAACAGAGATGACGCCGTCCTTCTGGAGAGAAAAGCACATGAAGACATTATCAGGAGGAGCACTGTGATCTCTATGAGAGGCAAAGGGGTCATGTGCATTTTTGCCTCTGTTTTAGTGCTTTGGCAGCCCTTTTATCATAAATGGGATTCCCTGCGTTAATGCATGTGCCCTCAAAGGAGCACTCCACTTGGAGAAAAGCCACCAATAAGGTTAGGTGTTTTTACTTCAGGCAAGGTATTACTATCTAATTGTTTATTTTGAAAGCCAGTGATGTAAGTAATCAATTATTAACCAATAAAAAGATATCAAACATCTCAGTTTTCCTGATTCCGCCAACGGCAATTATTTAGGGCTGCAGCCAACGATTATTTTCATAATCGGTTAATTGCCCGATTATTTTTTTCAACTAATCGTTTGGTTGCATTAAAACCCCTCTCTCTCTCCTGCTCTCTCTCTTCCTTTCCTCTCTCTCTCTCCTGTTCTCTCTCTTCCTTTTCTCTCTCTCCTGTTCTGTTCTCTCTCCCCTGTTCTGTTCTCTCTCTTCCTTCCCCCCCCCTCTCTTCCTTTCCTCTCTCTCTCTCTCTCTCTCTCTCCTGTTCTCTCTCTCTTCCTTCCCCCCCCCCCTCTCTCTCTCTCCTCCCCAACCAACTAACCGATAATGAGAATAGTTGTCAACTATTCTCATAATCGATTAGTTGTTGCAGCCCTACAATGGTTCCTGTAGACATGGTCGGGGTTGGATATCTGCGTAGTCGATAAACGCCGTGGCTTAGTGCCACACATCTACAGCCGAATGGCTAGATAAGGAGACAAAATGCTCTACTTTTCGGCTTGCTGATTTGAGACATACTGACACAGAGGGGTTTATTGTC